GTCGTCCAGGAGGGACTGAAGGAACTCAAGGGTCGTAGGTACCGAGCAATATGCTGGGTCCTCATTTCGCCCTTGGCACCAGTAAAAAAAAAACAGTTTCCACCTGTTTTCGTACTGCCTACGAGTAGGTTGTGCCCTAGCATTTGAGAATAGTCTTCCTGACAGACTCTATGCAGTCGCTCAGCAGTGGGTCGGGCCCAGTGGCCAGACCCACAGCTGGAGGTGGCAGGGGTCGGGGTGCCACATCCGACCCTCCAACTGAGACAAGAGGTCCTTCCTGTTGGGGAGACGCCAAGGCGTCCCACAGCAGAGTCTGTGCAGCAGATGGACAGGCCCGCACCTAGCTGGGTTAAACAAGGAAGTTTAACAAGACAGCCTAGCCAGGCAGCTGCTGCTAGAATGAAGCAGCGCGTCTATCAGAAGCAGGGGCGAGTACACCGCCCTCACTGGTTGAGTTAATAACGAATGCCAGATGCAGCGTAGGCGGGAGCGGGGTGCGACAACACAGCCTTCACCAGCTACCTGCTGAACGGAAAGAGTAGAGCAACGCTCCTACTCGCCGAACACAAAAGGGATGTAACTACACCCATGTTATCAGCAGAGGGAGCGGGAGCGAGAGCACTGCCTTCACCTAGCTGGAAATAACAAGAAGTTTTAGCAGGACGGTTTATCCAGTCGGCTGCTGCTAGAATAAAGCATTACGTCTACCAGGAGTGGGGGCGAGAACACTGTTTTCGCTGGTTGAGTGTGTCCAGAGCCACCCCAATGAAGGTTAGGCTTTGAGAGGGGTTCCGACAACTCCTCTCCATGTTCACCTTGAGGCCTAGCCGGGCGACATGAGAGAGAAGGAGAGCCGTGTCCTGGATCGTCTGTAACCGGGATGGTGCACAGATTAACCAGTCGTCCAAGAGAGGGAGAGTCCAAATGGGAGCACCCTGAACTGGAAATGACGACCTCTGAAGGCAAAGCGAAGAAACTGCCTGTGATGAGGCACAATAGGCACATGACAATAAGCGTCCTTCAAGTCGACGGACGTGAACCATTCCCCCCTGGCCACGGTACGAAGAACGTCTGCTGTGCTCAGCACATGGAAAGGTAAAATCCTTAGGAACTTGTTGAGTCTCCTCAGATCGAGGATTGGGCGAAGTCCACCGCCTTTCTTCCTTACCAGGAAGTAGGTCGCGTAGAAGCCTGGGCTGTGAGATGGGGTCCACAGGCTCGATTGCACCCTTGGCAAGGAGGACTGACAGCTCCTGGTTTAGGGCGATTTATTTTGCCGGGTCGCTTATGGTGGTCATTTTGACCCGGCTGAAGACTGGGGCCAGCGTCGGAACTGAAGCTTGTACGCTTGATTTAAGGAAGCGCTAAGAGCATCCTGCTGCAGGGAAGCTGAGAGGGCGAGCATGAGGTGCCTACACGGCCCATGCGCGCCGCTGCATCGTAAACCTTAGTGAGCAGGTCATCAGTGACCCGACATTGGAGTCGAGGGCACCTGGCCTCCGACCTCAGGGCTTCGTCAGGGGAAACTATGAGGGAAGCAATGGTAGGCTCAACAGCCGGCGCCGCATCCTGCATGGCTACCAAGGCTCGGCCATCGGACGTAAGACTGTAAAGAGCCTTAGTGTCCCTCCAGCATGCATGTAACTCCCTCAGATACTCACAAGAGGGAGGAACAGTGCGGGTGGCGGGTGCCGGAGTGCGCCTAAAGAACGCACTGGCAGGCGCTGTTTCGGGAATGGAGAGCCAAGAGGAGTGACCTCATCTGGGCTAGCTCAGTAGTGAGTAGGTCCACCCTGGAGGACAGCCTATCAGGCTTAGTCCTCTTCTTGGGCGGTGCACCCGCAGCCTCTGCGGCCCAACGCCTAGGATGGGTAGGTTGGGCTGGAGTCGACTGTGCGGGGGGAAGGCCACCCTCAGTCAGTAGTTCAACCTCGGCAGCTCTTACCGCACGAGGCATGATGGTGCAATTCATGCACGGGTCCTCCGAAAGGCCCTCCCTCAGATGCTCGAGGCCAAGACAAGAGGGGCAAAGGTCATGGCCATCCTCTGGTTAAAGAGGAGCCATACAGGTGTTAGAGCCGTTAGACCTAGCGATAGCTAGAGCACTCAGCTGCCTGTAAATAACTGGCCAGGAAACAAATATGCCGTGGAGGGGAGTGAGCACAATAGTAGTTAGCTTGAGCGTGAGCACTCTGCTAACTGGAGTGAGAAAAATGAAGTCAGTTAATGGGTTTATGCCGTGAGAGGAGAGCGGAATACTCTCTCCACTAGCGCCGTAGCGAGTTAGCCTAAGCGAGAGCACTCTGCTAACTGAAGGCTGGAACGGGCATCCAACTGTGTGCAGTGAGAGGGGAGCGGAAACACTCTCTTCACTAGCGCTGTAGCAAGTTAGCTTTGAGCGAGAGCACTCAGTTAACTGGAGGATGGAACAGGAACCAACTGTGTGCAGTGAAAAGGGGAGCGAAGACACTCTCTTCACTAGCCCTATAGCAAGTTAGCTTTGAGCGAGAGCACTCAGCTAACTGGAGGATAGAACAGGAACTAATTGTGAGCTGTGAGAGGGGAGTGAAGACACTCTTCACTAGCGCTGTAGCAAGTTAGCTTTGAGCGAGAGCACTCAGTTAACTGGAGGATGGAACAGGAACCAACTGTGTGCAGTGAAAAGGGGAGCGAAGACACTCTCTTCACTAGCGCTGTAGCAAGTTAATTTTGAGCGAGAGCACTCAGTTAACTGGAGGATGGAACACTTTATGTGTCGTTGCCACTCTTTGCATATCATGTATATATATATATATATATATTTTTTTTTTTCTTTCTTTTTTACCCTGTTTGTAAAAAGTAATTTCCTTAATGTTTTATGTGAGGGAATGGAAAATAGCTCAAAGCTAAATCTGGCACTGTTACGCTTGACACCTTTAAATGTTTTAAGTGTTCATTACAGTGCATTGTCCCTGTCAAATAAACGATTAAATAAAATAACCAATTGTGCGCCGTGAGAGGGGAGCGAAGACACTCCCTCACTAGCACTGTAGCAAGTTAGCTTTGAGCGAGAGTACTCAGCTAACTGGAGGATAGAACAGGAACTAATTGTGAGCTGTGAGAGGGGGGCGGAGACGCTCCCTTCACTAGCGCCGTAACAGTTAGCTTGAATGAAACCACTCAGCTTAGCTGGACGATAGAACAGGTAAAGAAACAATGTATGCGGTGAAAGTTAGCCTTCAGCGGAGCACTCAGCTAACTGGATGATAGTACAGGTAACAGTAACAAATTAGCGAGAGCCCTCGGTTAATTTGTACACAATTATCTCATTAGTTTGAGAGTATATAGATATAGCACAATCAGCAATAATTGGTAGCGATCTCACCGGCTGTGTGCAGGAGCGTCCGCTCTTTACCGGTCCGGAGCTCCTGGGGTCCGGGCGGTGAACACCGCGGTCCTCTCCCTTGGGAGGACGGACAGCTCACCGCAGCCTTTGGAGGGCGAGCGTTTTTCCTAGCCCGCAGCTCCGATCAAACGATCGCAAGGCTACAGGTAGCGATGAGCTAGAATCCCAATTTTTCAGTAAGCTTAGCTTGGCTTCTACTCATAAGTAGTAACCTACGCAGCGAGAAGATGAACAAGGACTGAGCCCGTTGACAGCACCGGAACTTATACCTTACGGTGTCATACGGGGTCACACGTGACTTTGTTGATATAAATATTCGACCTACGCATGCGCGAGACAGAAGGTATCCAGTGCTAAAGCACCGCCTCTGGCGGTCAGTAAGTATGAAATAGAACCTGTTTAGTTTGTTTGTGGAGTTATGGCAGGAAATTAGCTCCATACTCAGAGCTAACCTGTACTGGAGAGAGTGTGTGTGAAGAAGCAGGAAATCAAAAGGAACTCACCTTGTGGTAAACCTGAGAGAGAGAAAGAGTTTGAGCTCCATACTGTTTCAGAGAGAATCCTTCATGTGGTTTGGAACATGATATGGAGTTTAGTCACGGAGTATTTTTGTTTTGTTTTAAATGCTATGTTTAGCCATATATTATGGGTCTCAGATATATACAAATATATAAAAAACATGTCTATGAAGTGTTTTGCTCAAAATGTAAACAGATCATTCATTTCAGACATCCCTCATATCCCTCTATTTCAGCCCTGTAAGAGAACTGCTGGTTTTGGGTCCTTAGCTTGAACAAAAAGAAAAGAGGAGGGGGAGCTAATGCCTGCTCAGAATTCTACGAGAAAAAAATGCTGCCGTGATTAAACTCCATATCCTGTTCCAAAAGCATCAATCTGGTGCACTTTGAGAGCAACAGATCTATGGAGACATCTCTCAACACCCATATGAAACTGACCTGGAAACAGATTTATTTTTTCTTTATGGATATTTTACAAATCACTCTCCTTTCAAACTGTATTCTTGTTTATTAATAACAACTTGTTTTTACTGTCATATAGTATTTTATACCTGTTTACTTTATTCTCTTATTTCTTTATAACTATAATGATCATATAAAGATGTGCCTTTACCTCACTGGTTGTAGAAAAAGCTTCTTATATTCGTTAGCATAGCTAGCTAACCAGATGCTAATAACAGCAAAGGTATTGACTGTATGATCAGTATGACAGATGAACAGATCTCCTCTGGGCTTTCAGCTAAAGACACAGCCACGCAGAAACTGCAGCATGTGTACGTCTCCTTATGGGTACTGCACTTTGTGAAGTGGTGGAGCGGCGTTCTGGTGCTCTCCGTCAGAACTGCACCCCTGTCAGACGAGACATATACCACGTGATGACACGTTAGGCTCATGTTGTGTTCAAGGACCCTGACCTTGGCCAGGAAAAACAGGCACTCACTTGTTTAATTTTGTTGCGGTCTAGATGTCCTTTTTTTTGCGTGTGTTTATAAATTACCTCGAGGGCCGTACCAAATGGTCTCGCGGTCCGTATACGGCCGGGAGGCCGGAGGTTCCCCACCCCTGATTTAAAGACTAACTGACCCCCCTGCTTTCAGCCTGGAGCCTGCTGGAGTCCGGTTCTTGAGGCCAGGTCTCAGGAAGTGTAAGTGTGTTTTTAATCATGAACATCTTCACACTGGGACATCACAGGTACTTTAATAACCTTTAATACCTGCTGTGTCTCTCATCAGATTCCTGTGGACTCACACTGGACTCAAACACAGTGAACAGAAACCTCCAACTGTCTGACAACAACAGGAAGGTGACATGTGTGAAGGAGAAGCAGAAATATCCTTATCATCCAGAGAGGTTTGACTCCAGGGCTCAGCTGATGTGCAGAGAAGCTCTGATTGGTCGCTGTTACTGGGAGGTCGAGTGGAGAGGATGGGTTTCTATATCAATGACTTACAGAGGAATCAGCAGGAGAGGAGACAGAGAGGACTGTGTGTTTGGATGGAATGATCAGTCCTGGAGACTGATGTGCTCTGATGGGAGTTACTATGTCAGGCACAATAACAGAAACACAAACATCTCCTCCTCCGCCTCCCCCCCCTCCTCCTCCTCCGCCTCCTCCTTCTTGTCCTCCTTCTTCTCCTCCCTCTTCTCCTCCTCCTCCTCCTCCTCCTCCTCCTCCTCCTCCTCCTCCTCTGGTAGAGTAGCAGTGTATCTGGATCATCCTGCTGGCTCTCTCTCCTTCTACAGAGTCTCCTCTGACACACTGATCCACCTCCACACCTTCAGAGCCACATTCACTGAACCTCTCTATGCTGGGTTTGGGGTTGGGTCACCTGGTTCCTCAGTGTCTCTGTGTTCTCTGCAGGAGTGATACATACCCCCCCCTCCTCCTCCCCAAAAGAGAGAGGGGCTGATAATAAAAGTGTAAAACTAAGATTTCTGAGATTATCTGAAAAAATTTCTGTATGTTAATTTTCTTTTTAAATAAATCTAAATGTTGAGATTTCATAAAATAAAGTTTTTCAAAAAGAAACCAGGATTGTAAGATTTTAAGAAAAAGCTCAAAACAAAAGTCAGTCTTTGCAAAGATGAAACTCAGAAAGAGGTTGAATAACAACAGGAAGTCCATTCTGATTTATTTCCACACGGAGGCTTTTATTCTGAAACTGCAGGAAAATGTACATTTATCCCAAAGTCTTCCCACCATCTGTAGTTTGTGAACACGTGACATCACTTCAGTTTGAATGGCAGCAGTAAAGGGTTACTGAGGCTCGTTAAGAACAGGTCATAGTGACGAGTTCAATCACTTCTGCAGAATATAATATATGATGTCTACAAACTAACATATAATAACGTCTGAAGTGCAAACGTGAACATAAAGTGCAAACCACAGCGTGCATGCATTTGAGCTCAATGACCGGCTTCCCTGTGAATATTTAAAATATAACGTGGCCCTACACAGCAGAGTCTGAGCGGCACAGTGTGCAGCTTTTATTTTAATGCTGGCTTTTTACTCTCATGCAAACATGGTCATTACTTTTTAAGAAGGGTCAGATTCGATGAGCCTTATTTGCATTTAGGAAACTAATCTTCCCTAAACAGCACGATGATGTTTGAATGAACACGGCTGCTTCTGGGGTGAATGTAAACCTCTGATCTGGGTTAGATGGGTTTATTAACAGACCAATCACATGATGATTGTCTCATCATTAACACTCATGTACTTTCAATGTAAGCAGCTGATCTAATTAATAAAGTCTGTGTTTTGAGTCGGACTCGTGGCCTGTCTTTGTCTCAGTTTGATGGTTTGTTTATATCTTTGTTCCATATTCATAATGATCAGAAAGCTTCAGATTTGGTGTGATTCTCTTCCCCCATTAGAGACAGACAGGAGCAGCTCACGTTCCTGGGTCAGTTTAGTGTTGTTTTGCTAGACGACACCTATCAGGAGAAGTGACTCTTTGAAAACAGAGACACCAGCTCTTTTCTCCCCAGCAGTCGCCTCAATATACCATGATGCAATGCAAAGCCCTGGTGCATGATGGGAAGCAGCAGCACTTTAACTCTGCTGGGAGACACATTGTGGGACATCCAGTCAGAGATATCAGCAACAGACAGTACTAGTTAGAGTTACAGAGAAAAGAAGAAGTCTACCTTTATTTCTATTTGAGATGTTGTTTACATAATGGGTTGTTTCTTTCTAGTCTTTTAAATTCTCTAATGTACAATGCCTTGACTTTTTATGCTGCTGCAACGCAAACATTTCCATTTCCTGAATTTTTAGATTTTCAGAAAAGTCAGAATTTTGAGAAAAAGATCTGAATTTTGAGAAAAAAATCTGAATTTTGAGAAAAAGTCAGAATTTTGAGATTTTGAGAATAAAGTCAGTATTTTGTAGATGACAGGATGTATGATTACCTACAAGAACCGGTATTCCTCCATCTTGTGACTGTGTAACTCCCTCTCTGCACAATCAAGGGTTAAGTATGAAACCAGGGTTAAAACAACCTTTACTGTTAGTGAAAAAGCTTCACTCACTTTATTTCAGCTTTTATGAATCCAAAATGTTGTGCCATCCACATATAAACACATGAATATTCAAAAGGGATGGCATGGTGTTGATGATGATTTAGTAATGGAAACACATGTCACTTCTTTTTGCATATTGGTATGATTGGACGTGGTCCTTCAGTATGTTTAGAGCCTCCTCAACAATGTGCTTTTTTATTCAAAAATAACAAACCTCTATTTTTAAATTGACCAAAGAATTAAAAAGTATTAAGCTGCTAAAATAATCTACGGAAAAAGGAGACTGCAATGTTCCTCCTGTGTATACAAGAAAATAACATGAATGCCTTCATTAAAGTGGACCTATCATGCTATATTTGAATAATATAGTGTAGGGCCATACCTATATAAGGCATATTTATACTTTTTTTTTTTTTAAATACCAAACAGATCATGCATTTTAGCCATGCCTCATTTTGCTCAATTTGACATTTTTTAGCTCTGTTTTTGTAAGGGAAGATAAGGGCAGAACAGCACCATCTACAGGCCTGGCATATGTACTACAGCGTCTCCAGCGCTTTCAAATGGCAATGGCCGTGGCTGTCTCCTCCTGATTGGTGGAGTTGGCCCAATAGCCGTAGCGCCACCGTCCTGACGTCAGGACAGTGTTCAAACACATACATATTCATGTATAAAAGACGTACAAAAGTGCATTTTGCATGATAGGTCCCCTTTAAATTATGTTTTTGAAATTGTTTTCCATTTCGCAATATTTGTATGCAGTGGTTTAACGGCATGCAGTGTACTTTACTACTTCTAATATTCACATTACAGTCGTGGGTGGAAATTAACAATATTTCCCATTTGATTTTGAAGATGTTCAAGTAGTGAGAGGACGATGAAATGAGTTCCATCACTGGCTGATGGAACATTTAGAAGATGTGGAAATAATGAAGCATTTTGCTTTCAGTTATGCTTTAATTGATTGGATTGCTGGTCAGCTTTAGTATCATAGTACAGAGAGAGAAATACATGTTCAGGACAGACAGATGTTAAACAGAAATATTGCTTAGCTGGGTGAATCAGTTTATTGATTAAATATGAAAGTGAATCAGGAGTGTGGATAAATCTTCAAAACACTGATGTCATCGAGGCCTGACATCCTGGTAGAAGTGACATCCTGACTGAAGATGTGATCATTTCAGGGAGGAGGAACAGACAAAAGGTTGCTTGTCGAGACAGTCTACGTCGTTGACTTGTTTGTTAGCTGCAGGTTAAAGATCATCAAAAACAACACAGATTAGTTATCTGATGAATGAATGAAAGACAACATTAAAGAGGTATTGTTTTGTCATGTTTTTAAGTAACAACTTAAAAAGGAATAATTCAAATGTTTTATAATTCTCTTTAAAAGATTGTAAGCATAAATAAAGAGGACAACATATAATTGTATATTTTGTACCTCCATAGTTAACCTCCATACAGTGTTCCTTTCCTCTATAGTTGCTTGGCTCCCCCCTGCCCCATCTGCTGAAGCTAAACTTAGAGCCATCGCTCCACAGCCACACTCCCTCCTGAGAGGAAAATAAATGAAAAGTCATTTTCTAGACACAATGATAGATGGATGACAATGCATTTTTTAATGATAGGACGCATAAACATGATCAAAATCACTTCCAGATAGGGGGGGGGGGGGGGGGGGGGGGGGGGGGGCATTGAGCAATCATCAGAACCAAAGCTCCCACTGAAATTATATTTATGCTCTGCAGATCCAAAAAAAATCCATTCCTCAAAAACACTATGGACATCGGGTACAGGCCCGTAAGCAGAGATGCAAAACCCAGGGCAAAAGCCCACAAGAAAAAGTTCTAATTGAATGCAGCCGAACCACTTATTACAATGCATTCATGTGATGACTTCCAAAGAGAAAAGCAAGCACACGCGGAATAAAGTATTATTTTCTTTAAAACTTTGTTTTCGTATTTTCTATCGCATAAACACCATATCCCAACGTGCATTGCGACTAAGACATCCAATCACCGAGCTTCAACGATAGCTGAGGATTATGGGTAGCGTAATGTTTTCGGCTTTCCAAAACTCTGAAAAATAAATGTGTCTCTCAGAATCAAAACGGAAAAACACAAAAGCATTGTACACAATTTAAACCAATTAATGTTGTGTAATTAACAAACTGATGTTTTTTAGTTGATGAGTACTGCAGATATCACTGTAAAATAATTAGACAGTGAGGGGAATGATATGCGTCCATAGCAACCACCTTAGTTACTATGAAAACGCAGAGGTCGGAAATACTGTTTTCAACCCGTGAGAGTTGACTATAACTTAACACGGACGCTGTTCAATAGAAATGAATATGGGGAAAGAGCAATCTCACAATTTCAAGGGGTGCGCGCAGAGCAAACACTATAGTTTACATACGTAGTGTTGGGGAAATATTTTCCTAGGCCCATAACTTTGACCCAGTTTATCAGTTTGTACTGTCCTCACTGAGCTCAGGCACCTGTAGCCTTGGCTGCTGTGCTCTCAGTGTTTTGTCTCCCTGTTCCTGCCTGTTGGCGTCAGCTGATAGAGGTGTTATAGTGCCTGTTGATTATTCTCTCAGAACCAGCTAAATACATGGGTCTGGGGTAGAGATCTTCAGAATTGGTTTGGCATCCGTTGTGTCAACTCGTGGTGCACGACATGTCTTGTGAATTCTCCGGCCGAAGCTCCAAATAAACCATCATTGTTTGCCATCAAAGTTCCTGCTCTCCCCGTGTCTCTCTGAGTTTCGTCTCCATTGCTTCAGAAGTTTCCACCACAGTAGTATATACACGTTCTCCTGGCGAGAGCTCCAATACAAACTATAGACTACACATCCACTGGACGTAGATTTTAAAAGTACAATATGCACTTCTCGCTAGAAGAAGTGTGTATTTTCTCAGGCAAGGAAAGTTTTCGATCATGTGACGTCTTGAGAGGGTTATTTGTGAATATACTACGTTTTGCCCTGTGGACCACCGTAGCTATTACACGTTTTTTTGTGAGACTGGGTCTTATCAGCAGTCTGCCTGGTGTTGTGTCATTACAAAGGTAGCTTATTGTTGGTTTATTGGTGCGTTATGTTGTAAAATAATTGCTTATAATGGAGCTTACAGGCACAGTTAAGTGACAATCTCAGTATGTTGGTCAAATGTTCATGAAGCCAATTCATCCATTGTTTATTTAGTGATATTAACTAGTAGAGATTAAAGTAAATTCACTTTTTGAATGTCTCTGCTGTCCTACGGAGTCCCTAAGGCAGTCGTATTCAAAGTACAAAGTCTAAGGTATTCCATATAGTTTGTTCAATGTTATCTGACTCTCCAGACATGAATGAAAGGCCTGAGTGGCTTATATTTAGTCATAATGCCATTTGAAAAATAAAGTTAATTGTTACAATGAAAATTGTTATATAAAAGGGTTTTTGTACAGTCCTTATATCTTTAATACAACTTCTAAATTAGAATATATAAATAACTCACCATGACAGCATCATGGCCTCCAGCCCAAAAGTTTAGATCTTGGCCTGTTGCTGTTCTCACCAACTTTCTGATGAAGTTGTATTCGGTGGTCGATTGGATAGAAGCCAGATTCCCTCCGAGGGCAAGGCAATCTCTCTATGGTGGGGAAACAAAGTTAAAGTAAGCACAGACAAACAATGTTGTTTCAAAATCTGTTTTAGAGAATATGCCAAACATTAAAAGTTCCAGTTAATGCACTATTGTTGTCATTTCAGTACCTCAGCACTAGCCCAGTTCATTGCATGATTCTTGAAGAGGAAACAGCGAGAGCCAAGCTTGGTCCAACCAGGGGGGCAGCTCCCACTGCAATCTACAATTGTCATATAAAAAGACTTAATAAGAAATACTTAATTCATTGAGAGAGCAACAGAAGCAATGAATTCAGAACACAGATGCTGTCCAATAGGATGCCATCTTCATTTGGCTGCAGTCAGAAAGTGTTGGATGCTGTATTTTATTATCAAAAGAACCACCAACCCTTTTCCTCAGCTTTTGCCTGTGGATGTAAAGAACACATAATTAGGAATGAACAGGTTATGTTTCATAGTTCAGATAACGCCGGAAGCTTTGATTGGAAATAGTGTTACAAATGAATTATTTTCTAACATTCCCTAAAGTAACTGTGACCAAACTTTAATGTATCTGTGATATTGATCTACAGTGGGATCTACACATCAAACTTGAGTCTCCATAACCATTACTTATTATTACATCCCTTTATCTTATCTCATCAAAAAAGAGACTACATTTGTGAAACCTCCTGTGATTATATTTGAAAAAGATAATGTTGCATGTGACGGAGCAGGATATTCATTCAAATAGTCTATTATTTTTAATGAATTACTTCCGTATTATCCGTAGCTATGGAAAACAAATAGTACGTACATCTGCCTCCATCCACAGTCCACTGGTCAAACAGAGGAGCACGATGCAGTAGACAACAGATTCCATCTGTGTAAAGATTAGAAATGTAAAATGTAAAATGTAACAATTACTAAAGTACCTGGAGTAAAGTTTGCTTTTATGAGCAGTGTTTCCCTTGCAGTGGACACAACTTCATACATTTTCGTTATATTTTGTTCCTTGACATATTGTACTCAAGGGCTATAGTTTAACTTTCACAGTTTTTATTTTTAAAACAAACTAAAGAACTAAACCCTTACCTTGCTGTGATGATCAGATGAAGTAGTACTTGCAGCTGCAGCAAGAGTCGTGATAGTCATGGAAGGGTTAGGGTTCTTTATATACCTCATCTAGACGGTATACACGTACATATTGACACACCCTAGATTAAATATTAGACTGTTTCATAAGAAATGGAAAACAGAACAATTACTGATGCTTCTGTGGAAACCAGGTTATTTGTTTTGCTGTAGCTACAGTAAATTAAACTGTGCAAGGCAAGACTAGATTATTTAGATAGCTTATTTCAACACAGACAGAAACATGATGAGCATTAAGTGCAGCAGAAACACATTATAAAATGTCATGAAAAAGCCAAGAGAATAAAATGAATAATAAAACAAACTGAAATAATATATATGTTATATATATATATACATTTTATGTAATATAAAATACAGGAATACATATCTAAATGCAGTGTAAGATATGAATAGTGGATTTAATCAAAGAATAAAGTAATGAATTAAAGAACTGAGGGTTACAGCGGACCTGCAGGATTCTGGGAGTTTGTTCCAGATGTTTGAAGCATAATAACTGAACTTCTCCATGTTTAGTTCTGACTCTGGAGACAGAAAGCAGACCAGAAGACCTGAGAGTTCTGGATGGTTCATAATGTAGCAGGGGATCACAAATGTATTTTAGCCTTAAAGCATTCAGTGCTTTAAAAGCAGGCAGTAGTTGACAGTGTAAAGACCTCAGAACTGAAGTGATTGATCCACTTCCCTGGTGTTAGTGAGGACACGGGCAGCGTTCTGAATCAGCTGCAGCTCACTTATACATTGTTTTAGTAAGACCTGCAAGACTTTCCAATTCCTGCTAAGAAAGTTATTTCATCTTAGAAATATTCTTAAGGAGATATAGGCTGACTTTGTAATTGTCCTGTGACTGTTGAAACTCAGGTCAGAGTCCATGACTACACCTAGATTGCTGGCCTTCTCTGTTGTTTTGAACCTTGCCCATTGAAGCTAAGTTCTGACTTTTTTCCGTATCTCTTTGGCTCAAAAACTATTATCTCAGTTATCTTTGTTTAATTGAATAAAGTTACGTCACGTCCTGTCATTGATTCGTTCAATTGACTTACTCAGTGCTTGAATTAGTACTCAAACGGTTATGAAAATGTGAGTATTGTCTGCATAGCTATGGAAACTGATTCTGTTGTTTTCTATTATCTGAGCCACTGGAAGCATTTAGATGTTAAAGAGAAGAGGCCCCAAGATGGAGATTTGAGGAACTCCGCTTGTCATATCTGTCCACTCGGATGTGAGTTACCTATAGAATCAAAGTGTTTCCTTTCCTTTAAGTAGGATTCAAACCAATTTAGAACTGTAGCAAGAAAGTCCAACCAGGTTTTCCAGTCGGTCTAATATAAGTTAAGATAAGATGGACCATTATTTATACCCATAGGGAAATTCACTTGTCATGGCAGCAACAGAATTTGAAGAAACACAGATATTACACATATAATATACAAGGGAATACAAATAATTCAAACAAATAAAATAAGAACAAACATGTATTAACAGCGTTAATAGAAATAACAAATAACGGGAGTTAAGCAATGATCCAGTGAATGTACATATATACAGATATGTGAGAAGAACAGATGTTAAATATACAATATATACATTTAAGGCGCAGGTAATAGAGAGTATAAGTTGTATGTGCATACAGTGCAAATATGATCAATGTTCAGTGCAGGTTATTGATGGGTTACAGGGCTTGGTTGTGCAGCCTGATGGCTACAGGCACAAAGGACAGAGGCGCTTAGTGCTGTGCCGAGGAGGGATGGGTCTGTCGCTGAACGTACTCTTCATCTTCTAGTAATATGTTGTGGTCAACAGAGTCAGCGGTGAGACTAATAATACTAAGACTGAGATTCTGCCACTGTCTTGTTTTTAAGTGGATGTCATTAAAGACCTCAACAAGAGCAGTGTCAGTGCTGTGGTGTTGGTTTAGTTCCCAAAAGTTAATTAGCTGTTTAAAAAAGTTTGATATGGGCCTATAATCATTTATTAATGAGGCGTCTAGATTGTTCTTTATTAAGAGTGGTTTAATGACTGCATTTTTTAAGGGCCTGTGGAAATACACCTGAGTGAAGATACGTGTTTACTATCTGTGGTAGATCAGAATAAAGTAAGGTGGATTTAGGAATTCATATACATATCCACCACAGTGATGCTTGTATATTTATACGCCTTGTTGGTCTATGTCTGTGTCATATGGCAAAATGCGGTCATGTAGACACCTACTGTGCGGTACTACCCCCCACTCCCCAACAACACAACCCCATCCTATCATCCAATTACAAATGAACAAGTGTAATAATCACTAGAACCTTTTCCATCGAGAAATGTTTACTGTAACTCTTGGTGTGTTCATATTGCTAATATTGCCAGCGCTATGTTGGTAATGATAGCAGTGTCTGGCTTCTTGTTTTTTGGGGATTTTATTTTGAAAAACAAACTTCAACTTGAGCTTTATGTGAGGATCGAGTTACATCCTAGGGCTTTTTATTTTAAAGGTCCCATTATATGCTTTTCTGGTTATTACCCGTCCCCTTGTGTGTTATGTAGCTTTTTCTGCATGTAAACGGTCTGCAGAGTCACAAACCCTCAAAGTACACCCTGTAGCGAGTAAAACTCTAACACAGAAAAGACCTGTCTATGCTGCCCCAGAACGCCCCCCAACGTCCCGCCAACACGGCACCCAGACCCCACGCAGCATTCTCATCTGTTTGTCATTACTGGTGTCATTTCCTGGTTGCTAACAAACGCCATTGTAACACATAATCACTGATGTTCCGCTGTAACGGTGGTGGACTCATCAGAACAGAGTGGGCGAGCTGACCAATCAGAGCACAGTGGGCTCACAGGGAGGGGGGGGGGGCAGGAGCTCCAACAAGCCGTGTAGGACAGAGAGTGAATACACATACTATACAGAGATGCTGTATGAGAAACCAATGTGAGTTTGGAACATTGAACAATATAAATCTATTCTAGTAGACCTCAACAATGGAATTATGATGAGTAGAAATGGCCATGACATGGGACCTTTAAAATATAAGCCTAATCCTGAACTCCCTGTTAGGATGCAGTGACCTTTTAGTAATGCTGCCCTCGACTAAAGATGTGTCTAGTCGACTCATATTAGTCAATTCAGGCAATAAGTCTTTTTTTATTATTTATTTGTTCTCCCAAAAATGTTTCAGTTTCAAAGGCTGATAAAGAACGTTATCATAACAGCATGGTACTTTAGCTGCGTTCACACCGGAGTACTTTTCACCGTACTTTTTGCGTTTAGTTCCGTTAGTACCCCTTATGTCGCGTTCACACCAAAAATCGTACTTAATCTCGGGAACTTTTACCCCCATTTTTAGAGCCCGCTGAGAGATCGTACTTTCCTGTGGGTAAAAAGTGCCCCAGTGCTGATTGGCTGGGCGAATTGCAAACCACGCCCCGTACAACTGTGAAAATGTTTTGTAGAGCCGCCATTGTTTTTCCTCGCTACAAAAACCCAGCGCACCGACGGAGTTGTTTTTGAAAGCAGTTATGGCAAGCATCAACAAATGATGAGGAGGTGTCGGCGCTTCTGGAGATCTACGCCGAGGACGCGACCCAGGGAATGCACTGAAGCCAGTTCAGTAGCTTTCACTCGACCTGGGAATCGTGCACAGCCCCACGGCACACCGGCTAAAAATAAAGAAACTCAGGCAGGACTACAAACGGCGGATTCAGTGGCCAACGATGACGACCACGACGAAGGTAAAATCAACTACATGCACTGGGGTTTTAATCTGCACAATAATGGTCTCAGATGTACTTGTATTTGCTCAGTAGATCAAGCTAGCCATGCTAGGCTGAATAGGCTAACACCGGCCCCGAGCTAGCTACATCTAGCTAGCTAGATATGGACAACTCTCAGGATTGGAAACAAGCGAGCTTTGCATTCTAGATCACAGCGCTAGCTCTAGTGATGTGTCGGTCGCGAACGAGCCGGCTCAAAGAGCCGGCTCTTTTAAGTGAACGACGGGAGCCGGCTCGCGCCCGCGAACGAGCCGTTTTTTTTTGTTATTTTGTTGTTGTTAAGTAATACAAGACAGAATGATATGATGATCTCCGCGCTACAGCTGCTCCGTGCATGCATGCAGTGACATGTAATATCCAAGGATTAGAGACTGTTGGATGCTGCTGTTTTGAGCATTGCAATACATTTATTTTTATTATGTTTTTTTATGATTAGAGACGGTTGGATGCTGCTGTACTGAGCATTGCAATATATTTATTTTCACTATGTTATTTATTTATGATTATCCTTGGGCTCGGCAAAGATTTGATGTCAGCTGTTGCTGTCTTTTTTTCTATAGTTAATACTGAAATAGAGCCCTGCTGTTTAGTCAGGGCCTTTTCTTTAAATATAATTTTAAAATGTCGATAGAGTAGCCCATTTTTTAAAATGTCTATGCTTAAGTTTTTATCTCAATCTCAATTTTTATTTATTTATATAGCACATTTAAAACAACCTTCAGTTGACCAAAGTGCTGTACAGGCAATACATATTAAATAACACAATGGGAGTACAATAATAAAACAATAATTAAAAACATGATAAAAAGCACAATAACTAGAAAAATATTTTTAAAAAAACACATACAAATGTAAAAATGTAATGTTCAACTAGTATTAAAAGCCAGTGCAAAGAGGTGAGTTTTTAGCTGAGATTTAAAAAGTTCAATAGACTCAGCAGTCCGGATATGTACTGGGAGGCTGTTCCACAGTCTAGGAGCTGCAACACTGAAAGCCCTGTCACCTCGGGTTTTGTTATAGGTGTTGCTATCTGCTTTGTGTAGCGTGGTTCGACAAGCAAGTCTGTGCATTCATTGGGTGGTATCAGAGAGATACAAGGGTCTGTAAATGCAATGAAAACAATTGGCCACAGCAAATAATTGATATTAAACATGTCATTTTTACTTTTGAATACTTCAGTACAAAGGATGTATTGAATAATTTAAGTGATATGTGTACACATATAAATCATTAGTCAAAACAAGGCTACA